GGCTCCCTGCTCGGTGGGGAGCCTGCTTCTCCCTCTCCCACTCCCCCTGCTTGTGTTCCCTCTCTTGCTGTGTCTCTCTCTGTCAAATAAATAAATAAATAAAATCTTTAAAAAAAATAAAATACCTTTCAAGTTAATTTTTGTGTATGGTAAATTAAGGGTAAGAAAGTACATGAACATTAATTTTTTACCTTTACTTCACCACACAAATTTTTCTGGACTCACTCCTAATGGTTTTAGGTAGAATAAATCTGATGACTGTTGCTCTACCTTGGCCAGAAATGGAAGACCACGACTTGTTAATATAAGCTCCCCAAATGATGGCTATCCAATTGTTATAGCACATTTGTTGAAAACACTACTCTTCCCCCACTGAATTACCTTGACACCTTTGTTGAACAATGTATGTGGATCTTTTTCTAGATTCTGTATTCTATTGATCTATATTTCTGTATTTATATCAACACCACACTGTCCCGAATACTGTAGCCTTAGTTTAAATCCTCCAATATTAGTCTTTTTTTAAAAAAAACTGTTTTGATTCTATGAGATCTTTTGCATTTCCATATAACTATTAGAATCCCCTTGTCAATTTCTGTAAGAATGGCTCCTGGAATTTTTACTGAAATTGCATTCAATTTACAGATCAATTTGGGGAAAAACCAATTATTGAACAATAATGATCAAAGAGCATAATATATCTCCTGATTTATTTAAGGCCTTTATTAATTTCTCTTAATGTTTTACAGTTTTCATCATATAGGTCTTACATATATTTTATTAAATTTATCCTGAAGTATTTCGTATTTTTGATGTTACTACAAAAGGTATAGTCTTGTAAATTTCAATCGCCAAATGTTTGTTGCTCGTATATAAAAATCCACTTAATTTGGGGTGCCTGGGTGGCTCAGTTGGTTAAGCGTCTGCCTTCAGCTCAGGTCATGATCCCCGGATTCTGGGATCAAGCCCCACATCGGGCTCTCTGCTCAGTGGAGAGGCTGCTTCTCCCTCTCCCTCTTCACCCTCATGCTCTATCTCTGTCGCTCTCTCTCTCTCAAATACAATCTTTAAATAAATAAATAAAATCCAATTAATTGTGCACATTGACTTTGTAGCCTACAATCTTGCTCAGCTCGCTTTTTAGTTCTACCAGCTTCTTTGTGGATTCCTTGTAGCATTTTCTACATATAAGATCATTATCTTCTGGGGCACCTAGGCAGCTCAGTCAGTAAAGTGTCTGCCTTCAGCTCAAGTCATGATCTCAGGGTCCTGGGATCAAGCCTGGCATCAGGCTCCCTGCTCAGCAGGAGAGTTTGCTCCCCCCTCTTCCTCTGCTGCTCCCCCTGCTTGTGCTCTCTCGCTCTCTCAAATAAATAAAAAAAATCTTAAAAAAAAAAGATCGTATCTTCTGCAAATGAAGACTATTTGATATTGTCCCACATATCTGTTGCTCTGTTTTTTGGTTTTTCTCCATTCTCATTTTGGATAGTTTGTATGGTCATATCGTCCAAGTTGCTGATCTTTTCTTCTGAAGTGTCACTTTACATACTGTTATTTTTCATCTCTAGAAATTCTATGTGGGTTTTGTTTTTTTTTTTTTAAGATACTCTGCTTCTCTCTTGTGTTTATGTTTTCTTTTACTTTCTTGGACACATGGGCATTTCTAATATATAACAGCCTTGTCTGCTAATTCCATCATCTCAGTCATTTCTAGCTCTGTTTCTATTGACTGACTTTTAGTTATAAGTTATATTTTCCTGTTTTACATGCCTTGAAATTTTTGATTGGATGCTGGACACTGTGGATCTTACTTTTTGGTGCCCTGGATTTTTTTTTACTTTTTTGAACAATGTTGGATTTTGTTCTGGAGATCAATTAAGTTACTTGAAATCAGTTGGATGCTTTCAAGGTTTGCATTTAAGCATTTGTTAGAACAGTCCAGAGCAACCTTTAGTGTAGGGCTAATTTGGCCCCATCACTAAGGGGACACAGTTTTGAGGCCTCTTCTCTATGTCTTGTGTATTGCGAGGTCTTTCTATTCTGGCTGGTTCAGGAGCATGAACTATTCCCAGACTTGTTATTTCCAATAATTTTTTTGCATACTTCTTTCTAGTTGTTCTTTCTCCAGTCTCAGGTAGTTTCTTCACACACATGCACAGATGAGTATTCAATCAAAGACTTATAGGGACCCTTCTGCAGATCTCCAGAGCTCTGTCCTCTTTGTGTAACTACTTCTTCTCTGTGGCCTCCCAAGATTCTGATCTCTACCTTGTCTATGCAGTGAGATCTCCAGGCTCTGTTTGGGTTCCACCTCCTTGTACTGTGGCCCAGAAATTTCCCCTAGTTAGCAAGCTAGGACAATCAAAGGTTTACCTTGTTTGACTTCCTTCTCCATCACGGGGTCACAGTCTACCACTGCCTGTTGTCCAGTGTCTGAAAATCATTATTTTTTATATTTTTTTCTGAATTCATTCCTGTTTTAGGAGGAAGGGTAAATCTGATCTGCTTTACCTTCGCCAAAAGTGGAAGTCCACTATTTGTTAGGGTGAGCTCCCCAGGTGATTCTAATGTGGTCAATTTTTAAAACCTGTGAGTGAGTAACTTTGATTTCCTTAACAGAAAATTTCAAGATAGGATACATTTTTTTCTGAGCTAGTCTTGGTGAGATTTGGAAGCCTGTGTCCCAAAAGTGTGTCAGAAAAGTTTCATTCAGAGAAATTTTTCACTTAAAAAAATGCTCAATACTACTCTGCAAAGAAACTGAGAAACCATTATTGTTTGGAACAAAGTTTCATATGCAGATGCTTAGCCTAAAATATCTACTAGAAGATACCACAAAAATAACTAATAATTTGTAAAAACCATCCTCTTCCTGAGGCATTCCAGAAAAACCCTATTTTTAAAATTTTTGTCTTATAGAAACCACTCATAAAAAAGCATGTTCAGTAGGAACAATAAATAACCATCAGTATAAAATCAGATAGTCACAGAATTTTACTAGTGTGACTTTCAAAAATCATGAACCTTGTAAACTAAATTAATAAGATGTTGCATAGGTTATGCAAGCAAAACTTTACCTATCAGTAAAAAAAATAAGGTTCTCTTCAGTACCAGTAAATTCCATTTCTATGTAGAGGTGTCTTCCCATCCCTCTAGATAACCCTCTGAAACTTACCTTTTTCCAAGTAAGATCTTGGAGCCCACGGTGGGTCCTCTTCAGCATAAGGATCACTATATTCAACCACAGCTGCTTCCTCCTCTTCATAATCTTCTGGGGGAGGAGGAGGAGGGGGGGACTCATCAAAGACTGGTTCTTCCACAGGTGGTGGTGGAGGTGGTGTATCTGAAACTGAGAATGTACCAAGCTGATAACAAAACTACATGTTATGCAAAGTTCAGTATTTCCTATCCAAGCTTCTATATACACGGAATATAAATCTAGACTTGAAAATGATGATCTTTCAAAAAATGAGTGGGCAAGAGAAGGCTCCCCACCAACTATAATGTTTCAAATCTCCAAGCATGACTTTCTCCTCCCTTTGGGTGAGGACTGATGGGTGTTGAATAAAGCTTAGCCAAAACAGTAATTATTAAATGAGCCTCTTGGAACCTGTTTATGCTAATACAGAATCCTCTTTTTCAAAGAAAGAGGTAAGTACAATATAGTTTGGTTTTATGTTATATCCAAGGAGCAGTGGTTATCAGAAATATTAATAATTTGGATATGTACAAGCATATTTATAATAAATTAGAATGTGCTTGTGTATAGTCAAATATTAGTAATCTACATTCCTTTCAATGAATTTTTTTTTAAATAGCATTTTACCAAATTAGTGGAATGGAAATCACAAGACTTTGGGTAACTTCATCTATGAAGATGTTTGTGTTTGCTGTTTTTTATATAGAGAGAGAATTTCAACTAATTCAGACTGATTTATGATCCAGAATCTCCTCAAGCTAAATATCCAAGAGTGACTTAAAAGTCTCTCCTTGTAGAGATCTGCTTCCACAGCTCAAGTATCAGCATATAGTAACATCTAAAAGATTATCTCCAAACTCAGGCAACTCAAAGCTTTCAAAATGCTTGGTACATAACTGAGCACAGCTCAACAAAATAAACTGAGTAAAGCTGCATTTATCAGCTGCCCAATTTTATTTATTAATTCTTATTTATGAGGTATCAGTACTGTTTCTGTGAAATCCTCTGAGCAATCCTGTTTATTTTCTATCTTTCATCTAAGCCTACTGATTGAATCTGAGAAGACTGCTGGTGTCTGGGGAGGACTGGCCACACCAGTATCAGATTCTGTCCTATTCCAGTATTCTTCCACCTGCTGCCCATCTACTTCTCAACCTCTCTGCTTGACACACTTCAAAACTTTACCCATTAAAAGGGATTCTTTTATTCCATTCTTCGTAATGGTTTTTTTAAATAAAAACTATAGATATGTGATTTAGCATATATTTTATGACAAATTACATATGGTTGGGATAAGAATCAACAATATAACTATTTGCACTTATAAGGTAAAGAGATTGACTTTAAACAATTACATAAAAACAAAGATCCAAAGGAACGCTGTCTTTCAAAACAATCACCTTGAGAAATTACATTACAAAATTACTCAGATTCTGCCATTGCTTATTTTTACCATTTCTTAGAACGCCTCAGGGTTAGTTTAATGAGACTGACATAAGCTACCATTTTTACTTAAAATGTTCCAATTACTCAGCTAGCACTTTCTGATACATTATTTCATTTAATCTTTACCTTGGGAGGTGTGTTTTTAGTCCTCATTTTACGGATGTGGAAACTGGCTTTCCAAGATTAAGTAGTCCTACACTAAGTAAGTGGAAGAGCAGGAATTTGAACTTCAGTGCCTGTTATCTTAAGAGATACACTGTTATGGGATGAGATCAGCAACTTTAAAGTCATGTTTCATGATTATTCATTCAACAAACATCAACTGAGAGCCTACTATGGTTAGCTACTATGCTCAGCACTGGGACAGAGCAGTAGGCAAAAATCAGAGAGACATGGACAACCAAATTTTCACTAGTAATTATGTGCAGTAAGTGCTTTAAGTCACTATGGAAAACACAGCAATAGACCAAAACTCTTATGTAGGTCAGGAAAGGTTTCCTGAACCTGAAGAATAAGTAAGAGTTAATGGTCAGAGGGTAGGATGGAGTGAGGGTAGATATTTCATGTCAGATGTAAAGGGAAAAAAAAATACAAAGGTAAGAGAGTAGGAACCCTTCAAAGAACGGGCCAAAGTTCAGTAGAAAGAGGCATGAGGAAGCTGAAGAGGACTAAGCAGGAAAGGCCTTCCAACAGTTTGAATTCTATCCAAAGAGCAATGGGGAGCCATAGAAGGATTTTAAGAAGAACAGAATCATAGCTGCACTACTGAGCCCAGTATACCTGGTTCCAAATAATTCCAGACTGTTTCCAAACATCGATCTTATTACAGACTATCTGCTACCAGAGAAATCTTCAAAATCGTATACCTGAAAACTATGAAGATAATTCTAAAAGACAAGTATGTATCTTTCCAAGGTGAATGTTTTGAAGAGAACATTCATTTGAATGCAGAAGTCCTCATACACAAAGTTTTCTTATTTTTATACATTTTGTAGGTGAGAAATATATATATATGACTATGGAAAGAAAGAAAAGACTATCCCAAAAGGCAATCACACTGCTAAATATTGGAGGTGCTCATGCTCATGGTTTACCTTCCAATAAGCAAAAGTTAGACTACTTTCAGAAGCTAGCAAACAGAGATGCAAAGGCACCTGAAAGAGACACTGAGCCCTTAGGCCAAGACAGACTGGATTATAACCAGTTGAAATACAACAAAGAAATGTGTCCATAAAAAGGGGGCATTTGGTTAGCTATAGAAGCACAAAAAAACAAAATCCAGGGACTAAAGTGTCTGCTCTGTGTCCGATGCTTCTCTAAGTACTGGGGAAACAGCCAGCCAACAGAACAACCAAAAGTTCCTGCTCTCATAAGAGCTCACATTCTAGTATCAGCAATGCCCATCGAAGCAGCAGGAGTCATAAGCAACAGAGTGCAAACATTTCTACCCCTCTGGTCAGGCCATCCCTGTTATGAGATGCAGAGATTGGGCTTCTTCATACTGATGGCATTGAAACTTTCATTAATGTAATTCCCCTGGTTCAGATTCCATACCCATCATGCAACCTGATGATTGTGATGTGGGTTCCTTGTATAGACCACTCATAAAAAGAGAATTCATCTATCTGACGGACTATGTTCACTGGTGTCTGTAACAGCAATTCCTCACTGAATGTGATACAGGCCTCCTGCTTTGTAGGTATCAGGCTCCTGAGCTTCCTTAATGCTTCCCTAGGAGAAGACTGAATGGGTCAATAAAATTAGTTATCTAATCCTGCATGTCTTGACCCCAGGCCACAGGCCACAGGCCAGTGTAAATTCATCGCCAATCTACGAGGCCTTTTGGGAGACAGACTGGCAATTTGGTCCCCTGAGACCTACCACGGCATGGCCATCTTTACACCTGGAATCACAAGACTGGAGGAAGATTCTCAAGCCGGCCACAAAACCCTACAACTCCAGTGATAGGAAACTAGGCTACTACTTGTTTGAGCAACCCAGAGAAAAAGATGGGATATCTGGTGACTAAGTAGCATCTCCTTGGTTAGATGTAGTCTTTCTTTTCTTACATGTGCTTTATTTTACTTTTGTCTTCTCTTCACTACCAGATTTTAAGTTACCTGAAAGCAGAGGACTTCATCTTAATTATTTTATCATTCACACTAGCTGCTGACCCAGTGACTTGTTCATAATATGCAAATATGTGAAGTATTAGCGAATGAATTACTATTCAGCCAATCATATATAAATGACATTTTATGCCTATAATCTGATCTACAGCATAAAGAAGACATAAACTTACTATTTTCTTGGACTCTGGCCACAAATCCCATTAAAGGTAACTGAGGAGTTACCTGTAGAATGGAGGGAGGAGGAGGAGCAAGAGATACTGCAAAAACAAAAAAGGTGTGGAGGATAAGGGGTAAGGGCGAGTTACATTAAAACGAAAGGCTAATACAATCAAATGAACATATAAGGAGGGAAACCACTATGTACAAATATTTTATAAGCTATCTTAAAGATCCTCTCCTGAGGGATAATACATTAACACAAAAAACAAAGTATTAAGGGGAGTTTAAAGAAAGTTCTAAAAATTGTAACAGGAAGCATTTATTATATACAAATCTATTCTAACATGTAACGGCAAACTGATCTTGTCATATCACTAATAACATGTCTTCTCAAAGAATTTCTGCAGATTATTACAAATAATTTGGTCTTCAGGATTTTAAAGGTTACAAGTTTAAATGTTCAATACCAGAAAAAAAAAACTGCATCCCAACATCCTAAATTTATATTTTTCATTACTTCATTAACAGGCAAATTAACTGGTTCTTCATTCCTTAATTAAATATTTACTGACTTTCCAGTAAGTGGCAAGCACTCTGCTAGGAGGCCAGTATCAAAACCATTCTGAGAGTTAGGTCTGTGTCATTACAATTTTTCATAATCCCAATTCATACAAAAAAAAACACTGAACTCATTCAAATCATTCTCTCCTCCCCAGGGTGTCTTTCCTTCTATCCCAAACACCTGGTACAGTGCCTAGCACTAGTCAGCCTACAACAAATGTTTAATGTATGTAAATAAACGAGGTACATGCCAAACAATTGCCCAAGATTAATTCTACAGTTACAGTTTCCTTCAGAATGGGTATATAGTATGCATCTTCTTATAAAAAAAGAACAGCTTTATTAATTCTAAATTACAGTTAAGACTAATGCAACTGAAAAGATGAAAAAGTCACTGCCCTCAAAGAGACCACATTCTAATTGGGGTTACAAAACAAAATAATAACCTTAACCCAGCAATGTTTATAGCAATCCGCTGGAGGGGGTTGTGGTGGGAGAGTTGACATGGGGATGGTGTGAGGTGCCGGTGGGGGGTGGGGGGCACCGGGATGCGCTAGTGGTAAGGAAGGCCACACAGAAATACTCTCTGAGCCGGCACTGGAAAAAAACGAGTTGAACAAGCAGACAAGAATGGAGAAAGACAAGATGAGAACCAAGTGAGGGGCAAAGGCTGAGAGGTATAAAACAGCATGACCAGTTCACAGGACTGGAAATGTTTCTATATATATGCTAGCACAAAATAGCCCAGAGGGAAAATACAAACCTGGAAAAGTAAGTGGGTAGGTATGAAATAGGGAAGTACCTTAGGGGAAAGAGTACTCAGTGGTAAGAGACTGGACTTTAAAGTCACTCAGCATCAAAAATCTGATTTCCTTGTTGTTAAACACCTAGTAATAACTTCTTTGGACCTAATCCATAAATGTGATGAAAAAGAGTGGTTTGCTTTACAGAGTGGTTGCAAAGATTTAAAAAGAAAACAAAAACAAAAAACTAATGCATGCAGAATGCCTAACCCAGGACCTGGCCCAAAAAAAATCAAGGCAGCATAAACACAAAGAAAAGAACTTAGTAACATTGTGAAAAAAGTACCACTTGGTAACTAAGGAACATAGATGATATGTAGACAAGAGTTAAGCTATGAGTTAATACTAAAGAATATCTAGATGTAAGGGGCAGCGTAGAATAACCCTAGAAATGGGTACTTTCTTAAAAGGTACCTTTTAATGAGGTTTTTCCCTAAAGTCATACTTCTTGGTAGTAAACCCTTCGATGCCGTGTCTCCCCCTCGCAGAAGCTTGGGACAATTGCTGGTATGTTCCCAATACCCTGTGTTTCTAAACTTGGAGGAAGAAGATGACATAATGAACACAGAAGTAGCAGAGACAAAGCTGATAAGAGAAAGAGAAGCAAACAGCAACTGGCATTCTAGGAAAGTATTTATTGGGTGTATGTTCCCGTCAAATAAGATGAAAATGTTCCTCTTCTGTTAGCACCAGTCCCAACCTGTCCTATAACAGAAAAGTAGGGAATCCCCCACTTCAGTCACTGTTTCTCATCCAATTTTTTTTTTTAAATGACCTTCTGGTGCTCAGCAAAACCAAAATGATTAGGTGCTTAACTCAGAACAGTCTTTTTGTAGATAGATCAAGTGTATTATTATTTTTTAAGATGAGTATGTTCTATTTCTTTTCTAGTTCTGCAAGTGAAAATCTGAAACCATAGGGTTTTAAGAAGTCCACCAAGAACAGCCCAGGTAAAAACCAATCACAAATCTTTCTAAAACAGATTTACTTTGTAACAAAACAAGTTGGATTTTTCTCAAAGCCAGACCATGTTTAAAAAATTCAGTTCCAAACAGTTTACAAAGGTCACCCCAAATGCTACTTTTTTTCCCCAGGGCAAAATTTTAATGTGATGGTCCAAATTAATTCATATATCACAGCATTTTCTTTCTGGACCATGTTAAGATTTCATCTGACCAGAACTCCTGTGAACCAGAACATCCTACTTTAGACTAGATTTATTGTCCTTAGAGCTGAGCTGAAAATGAACCATTCCAGGAGATTTAAGCAGGATTTTGATGAGAAGAATTACCTGCAATATTTGGTTCTAGTCCCAGGCATCTTGTGAACAGGGAAGAGCAGAGGTAACTAGACACTTGTTTTCACTCTACTTAGCTAAGACGATTCTTCATGTGACAAGACCCTTTCCCTATAACCACCAAAAGATCTCCAAACTTAGATTCAGGAGTTTTATGTTCACAATATACACTAACGATGTTAATGTGAAGAGATGGCCTCACCAAACTGGAGTTTATAGAGAGATCTTAAGTTCTACACACAGCAACAAGTAGACATGTATCTAGTAATAGACTTTGCAAGCAAACCAAATTTAGAGGATGAGTCGGTGCTGATGAAATATACAGACTTTCCAAACATGACCTTCTGGTTATTTATAAAATCCTTTGGAGCATAATCTTTGAGGCTTACTGTTTTAAAATGTCTACTTCAAAGCATTTTGAAAAAATAACTTGGAATTTTACAGCTTATTTCTACAGATTTATAAATACTCTGAGAAAATCAGACATAATAAACATTCTAAATACTACTTTTAAAACCATTAAAGGATACCACCGGGGCACCTGAGTGGCGCAGTTAAGTGTTCGACTCTTGGTTTCAGCTCAAGTCATGATCTCAGGGATGTGAGAGCCCCAGAGTGGGCTCCACACTCAGTGCAGAGTCTGCTTAAGTTTCTCTCTTCTTCTCCCCTCCCCCACCATCTCTAAAATAAATAAATAAATCTTAAAAAAAAAAAACACCACCGTTAGAGGTTATAGACATCTGAGAGCACATTCAAGTTTAAGTGCTTATATTTTACATTGCAGTGAAGGAAATGATTTAAGCAATTCATTTTAAGAGTGAAATATTTCCTAAACATGAACAGCAGGGAGTATTTAAAAGTGAACTCAACTAATCATACTCAGTAAGGAGGCTTTTTTATTAAAGATTTTATTTCTTTATTTGACAGAGAGAGAGGAAAACAAGCAGGGGGAGTGGGAGAGGGAGAAGCAGGCTTCCCGCTGAGCAGGGAGCCCGAGGCAAGGCGGGGCTTGATCCCAGGCGCCCCAGTAAGGAGGCTTTTTGATGGAAAAGAATATGGTTACCAAATAATTATCAGTTCTGTAGTTTCAGAAGGGTTAAAAGAATTGGATCATTGTTATTCCTTTTCAAGCAAAAAAATCACCATAAGATGTTATGCCAAGAAAAAGTAGCAAATTAACACAAAGTTTAAAAACACAGCTTGTGTTAATAATCAGTATAAAGGGTCTATCTGGTTTACTTGGTCATCTAAGAATGTAACACTTTTCAGTTGTTTTCCTGTTTTTTTGCTCTCATTACAGTAAGCATTCTTTAAAAAATAAAAAGAGTAAGCATTCTCTAACAAACCCTAAAGATTGCCTAATGTAAGGATTTGAAAATTGCTTCTTGCTACTGCTCTTTATTCATACTTTGCTAAAGCCCCACCACATCTGTATTCTTCTGGAAATTTATGGTAATGCTGTAACTTAACTATCATTTAGAGGATATGATGTTATTGGCTTCTCTTCTGCAATACCACCAACCCAATATTATTTTTTCACTGTTTCTTTTTAGTTGTTATTAAGAACATTCAATGGTTACAGCTTGATATTTTCCCTGTGTAAAACACCATACCTGTTCATAAATTCCTCTCTCATATAACTATATACAGTCACATTTCTTGGAACCAACATTTTACTTTATGAATTAGATTTTTTAGTCTTTGCTGTAAGAAACTGTGAGCAGTAAAATACATGATTATCTATTACCAAAGACCTTATTATTGATTTTTTAATGTTATGGACTGAATATTTATGTATCCCTAAATTTCATATTCATGAAATTCTAATGTGATGGTATTAGGAGGTGGGGTCTTTGGGAGGCAATTAGGTCATGAGGGTAGACCCCTCATGAATGCAATTAGTGCCCTTACAAAGGAGACCTAGACAACTCCCTCTCTTTTTTCACCATGTGAGATATGAGAAGATAGCAGTCTGCAACCTGGAAGAGAACCCCAGAACTTGACCATGTTAGCACCCTGATCTGACTTTCAGCCTCCAGAACTGTGAGAAATAAATTTGTTATTTATAAGTCACCCTGTCCTATGGCACATTATGACAACAGCCTGAACTAGGACACTTACCAAACTAGGTCTATACATGTAAATGTACAAGTTGTGTGTGTGTGTGTGTGTGCGCACATGTGTGTACACACATACTTCTTTACCACCAAGGGCCTTCACATATTTAAGGTTAAAAACTGTTAACTTATGCTTAGCTCTATTTATTTTGGTGACCCTCTTTGCTGCTGACAAGATGGATAATAAATTGGTGTTCCTATTTCTTTGGCTAGATTATTAAGAATCAACGACAACCAAAGGGGTTTCAGTTAAGCCCCGATCAAAGTGTTCCTTTCATTAACTTGCTTCTGAAATAATCTCATTAGAAAACAACTATTGTACCCTTAGGATCATTAGAAAACAATTATTGTACTCTTAGGACTTGGCACTAGACACTGGGTGTTCCATATTTTAATTCCTATGTTATAATGCCCTTTCAAACTCAACCAAATACAGTAACAGTGCTGCCAGATTTCCATCTCACAGAAAACCAGTGAATTTACTGAGCACTATTCCCAGGATAAAACTGTATAACAGACTGACAGGGTCTCTGGCTCTCATGCATTTTATATCACAATGTGGATATCCTCCTCACCCCCCACCCCCCACCAAAGAGAAGACTAGGAGAGTAAAAGAGAGATTTTTATAAAATCTGAAGGTAGGGAGGCAAGTACGAAGAAAGAACATGGAACTTAGAGGCAGATGACCTAAGTTCAAATTCTAACCTGACGTCCCGTTTCTCATCCTACAAAATACAGATGAAAATGATCACATGATTATAAGAATCAAATGGGATAATATATATAAAAGCATTCTTTAAACTGCAGTTATGTAGAAGGAGGATCAAATTTCTTCTGCATGACTCCAAAGAAATAAGGTTTCACCAAAAGGTAGTAGCCACAGTAGACCAGTTTCAGGGTTTATCAGAGATGGAATGGGTTGTCCCCTAATATTAAAGATACACAGGCTTACTGGCCTCTGGGCAAAAATCCAGAAAAACACAGTAAGTTGCTATACCATGTCCACAATAGTCATAGGGTCTAATATTTGCTCTTACCCTCTCTGGGGAAGAAGCAAAAATAATGACTACATATGGTTTAAATATGTGCCAGATTAATTTTTTCTGTATGCATGATGCAACAGAAGGATGACTGTAATATCTGGATCAATCCGTCCAAGTCCTAGCTTTCCCATCATAGGTTTGGTATGAGAACTGAGTAAGATAGTATAACTGCCTAGCACAAATAGTTCAAAAATATCATTTCTCTTTTACTATACCACTTACAAACTCTGTTCATGAACACTCAATTTTCATTATTTGGTATTCACAGAGCAAGGATATCTGATTAAATAAGAAGGAAATACTGTTCACCGCAACGGTGTTCAGAAAAATTAAGTTCTACAACTTTATATGGAAATCATGTACTGATTTAAAAAAAAGGAACTGAATGATACAGTATTAGCAACCTCGTAGTCATTCTTCCATTCATTCAACAAACAGTACTAAACACCTATTATGTGTTAGTAATTTGTAATTAAAGGTTTTTTTCCCCTGTAACTGAAATTTTTAATTAGATATATTCTACAGAATGCAAAAGAAAATCTAACCTGGATTCTGGCTATAAAAAGGTCCTCCGTTCATCTGATTCTGAAGGCTTGTCTGTGACGTTATGGAAGGAGGGCGTCTATAGGGCAACGAGCCCCCTATTGTTGGAGGAGTATGGCGAGTAGCAGGTCTGTTCATGCTGTAGAACTGAACAGGATGACCTGGAAAAGGGACAGAGCATAAATTTGTCATTAAAAGATAATTATCTCAGGCAATGAAATGCTTTAGGTACATTGCCTGAATCTTAATAAGATTATTAAAAATAACAATGTTTAGCTAATTTAATTGCTATCTGATAAACATCATGCAAGATCACAGTTATTGGTCAGCTGACATCAAAGTGCAAAGTAGGAAAATAGGTAAATAAAATTAGGTTTGGAAAAGCTACGTTCTAAATAGATTACTAATTACAATTTTATTAAACTAATAATTTGATAGGGTTTCAAATCATCACAACTAAAATTTATGGCTTACTTCCTCCTCTACCCCCCAAAAATGGCCACTAAAAACTAAACAAGACAAGGGGCACCTGGGTGGCTCAGTAGGTTAGCATCTGACTTAATTTCAGCTCAGGTCATGATCTCAGGGTTGTGAGATTGAGCGCCATGTCAGATTCGGCTCTGGATGTGGAGCCTGTTTAAGACTCTCTGTCCCTCTGCCCTTCCACCCCCCAACTCACATGCACTCTCCCTCAAAAGAGGAAGGAAGGAAGGAAGAAAGGAATGGATGGAGGGAGGGAGGGATGCGAAGGAGTGAGGAAAGGGAGGGAGGGAGGGAGGGAGGGAGGGAGGAAGAAAAAGGGGCACCTGGGTGGCACAGTGGATTAAGCACCTGACTCTTGGTTTTGGTTTCAGCTCAGGTGGTGATTTCAGGCTCCTGAAATCAAGCCCTGTGTCCTGCTTGGATTCTCTCTCCCTCTGCCCCTCCCCACCGCCACCCCCCTTCTGTAAAATATATAAATAAATCCTTAAAAAAAAAAAAAACTAAACAAGAATGACATTTGGGAAAGCAAAAGAAAAAATGTTTGACACACGGTCTTATCCAAAATAATAGTAATAATAATAATGGCAGCAAATTTAAGGTGGCAAAGCAGTTTAAAGGAAAACAAAATATTTCAGCAATCAGGTGACATAATTCCAAATTAAACACATCTTATTCAATCAGAAATCTCCATCTCCAAAGCTAGATTATTTTGTCTTAAAATTAGAGCTTAAGAAATTTACAATTAAGAAAAAAGTTAAGATACAAAAAAAGTGAATCAAAATATATCTTATTTGTAATACTATCTTCAAACCTGTAATATTTATTAGCAATTCCACTCAATTTTGCTGAGTATTTCAACAGCTAATGCTAACTAAAGACATTCTTTCTTAATCTATCCAATTCCCTAATGCAATCCAGTTCCTAAATTTTATCTTGACTCCACTTACACTTAACATCACTCAGCTGAAGGCCTACTATTACAGATGGATCAGACAGAGCACTGGAGCACCCATGAGAGGTCACTCCAGCAGGCATGAAAGGAGGGGAGGTAAGAGGAGGAGAGGGAAGGGGAGGGAGCAGAAGTGAGAGAGGAAGAACCTGGGGAGGTGAGGAGAGATAAAGGGAAGAGCAAAGAGGAGGAGAAAGTGCAGGAAGGAAGAAAGGGAGGGGGAAAGGAGAAAAGAAAGAAAAACACTTCTGGCAATTTTTCATCTTATCCATGATCATAAAAAAAGGATTTACCTGAGTAAAATTGGGCTTCAGTAACTCCGTAACTTTATCAAACTTGGGTTCATATGAACTCATATAAAGAATATTATAAAAGTACTCAAGATCTGCTATATCATTTAATTTTACATTATGACAGCATCAAAACCTAAAAATCAATTCTGTTGTACAAAAAATCTGGAGTATTCAAGCTTAAACATAATCTGTCAAGTCTCTGTAACAATGATAAAAAAAATAAAAATATATAAACTAATAAATTATTAATTAAAAGGTAAATTCTGTCATTTGAATCACCAGATACAAATACATTATTGGCATTTTAGTAATCAATCTGTAACAAACTAATACAAACCTACCATTTTCAAGTTAAAAGCATCTGATAATTAAACCATTATGAATTTTATAAAGTTAAATCCAGTTTAAAATCTCACATAAGTCCTCAGTAATTAAAAAACACTACATAAAAGACTCTATTCATTCAATTAATAAGGCATTTACTTTGCTTTGGGTTAAAAAAGCAAACAAAACTACAGTTTAATTAACAAGGACCTAACTATAAAATCTAAAACTAAAAAGTTCTAGAAAAAAAACAGAACAAAATCTGTGACCTTGTGTAAGGTAACAAGTTTGAAAGTATGACACTGAAAGCACAATCCATAAAGGAAAAAAAAATCAATGAACTAGACGCAATCAAAATGAAGAACTCCCCTTCTAAAGATACCATTAAGAGAATAAAAAGGTAAGTCACAAATGGAAGAAAATATTTCCAAATCGTATAATCGATGAAGGACTTACATTCAGGAATAAAGGAATTCGATAAGAAAACAACCCAACTCAAAAGGTGTGTGGAGGGGAGCAAAACATTTGAAAGGACATTTCATCAAAGAAGATAAGCAGATGGCAAAGAAGCACACAAAAAAATGTTCTAGCTCATTAGTCATTAGGGAAATGAACATCAAAACCACAAGAAACTACTGTATACCTATTAGACTGGCTAAATCAAAAAAACAAAAACAAATTGACAATAGTAAGTGCTAACAAGTATGCAGGGAAGTCTCACGCACTGCTGGTGGTGGTGTGTTCAGCTACTTTGGAAAACAATTTGATGGTCTCTCATAAAATTAAACATTCATTTACCATACAAGCCAGCAATCCTACTCCCTAGGTGTTTACCCAAATGACCTGAAAACCTACACTCACGCAAAGTCTGCGTGTGTATGCTTACAGCAATTTTATTCATAAAAACCCCAAAACGGAAATAATCCAAATGTCCCTCAACGGGGAAAGGGATAAACAAACTGTGGTACATCCAAATGATGGAACACTACTCAGTAATAAAAGGGAGCAAAATAATGAAACATGAAACAACATGAATAAATCTCAAATGCACTGGTGCCAAAAAGCCAGACCCAAAAAGCTATATACCATACGCTTCTATTTGCATATTCTTACAGAAGCAAAACTTTAGAGACAAAAACAAAACAAAACAGATCAAAGGGTTGCCAGGGGCTAGAAGTAAAAAGGAATGACTGACTACAAAGAACACAGAGGAAATGTGCAGATGATAGGACTATTCTACATCTTGACTGAAGCTGTGGTCACATCACTGTATACATTTGACAAACGTCATGCTAAAAAGGGTGAATTCTTCTGTATGTAACTTATACCTTAAGAAGAAAAGAAAAAAGTACTTGGTGATTCAAAGACAGTATAAAAGAGAGTATATTGACATAAATTATTATTAAGGCATTCACCTTGCTTTCTGTTAAGAAAAAGTATGCTTATCCACTCATATAACAAATGTTTATTCAGTGCAGACTATGAAGCAGTACCTGTTAAATTATGATTTTATTACAAAAATGTTGACTCTTGGGTGGGAGTAATTTGTTCCTTCTGGGCCTACAACCAACTTCAAGATGCATTTTTTACTTCATTGGTGCTGGAGCATAGCAAGATTCCTATATTTAACTAGACGGTCTGGCCTAACAGAAACGTGTGTAGATCAAAGAATAGCCCACATTTACGTTTACATGGAAAGCTTTTCTTAAAAATTTCTATTATAGAAGCTAACCCATAAAACACCATCCAAAATCCATTTTAGCTAAAAGTGCCCTTTAACACATTTAAACATCTGGTTATAGCAGCAGAGCTAAATATATATTCTATGAAGTATTTGACAAGCTAAGGTGATGCATGTCCAAACACATACATTTTTATAATAGATAAAGAATTTGTTTGCTAATAACTAGCATCACTATTAACTTTGCAAATATATTTTATAGCAACTGAACCTTTTTCCCCTTCCCCATCAAGACAGATTTTAGGATGCAGTTTTAAAAACTAAAACACCAGTCAACCTTAAGTAACACTTAAGTAAACCTGAAATTCTTAAAAAGTCCATTATTGTCTATGTGTTTCCAGAGCTGCTTTGATAGACTTCAGAGACTTCCAAACTGTTACATCAAATATTTCCTATAAAATATACCTTAAAATTATTTCCTTAAGTCTTTGTTAAAGACTTAATCTGCAACACTACTTCTAACACCACCACCTCAAAACTGTACAGAAAATGGCTCCATACTAAATTCACAAATCTCCAGTACGTGAAATTCAAGCAATTAAAAAAATGTATATTTGTGTTACTCTACTGGAAAAGTGTATGTGAACTTTACCCTTCCTCAGGAAATTCTACTTTTTGTAGAATGCCATTTTCTAAGTTAGTCCATTATTCTTCAGATTTTACACACACACACACACACACACACACGGCACAAACAAAAGTCATAAAGCCAGAGCTCCAGGTAAAAGAGCCAGATGACTGGATGTGCCTGCCAAAGGAACAAGCCGTACTCACCTGTGGGGGGAGTGGAAGAAACAACAGGGGGAGTTGGAGAAGTGAAGCCATCAGCAAGGGCCTGGGCCCCCCCAGCAGCAGCGTCTGGGGCAGTGGAGGAAGGGACAGTAGCAGGAACAAGAGGGGCAGGGGCAGATGCAGAAGTAGCAGGAAGGGGAGGAGTACCAGCAGAGCCAGCAGGGGCTGAGGGGAAAGAGGAGTAAGAGGCAGCATTAATGAGGCAGGCCCATTAGGTGGGATTAGAAAAGGCATTAGAGAACCTAATGTTAAATATTCAGTGCTTAACACTAACCAAAGAATAGAAGAGAATGGTAAAAAAAAAAAAAAAAAAAGAATGAAGCTTATATTAAAGGATTATTTGGTTTGCAGCAAATAATTCAAAATGCTCAGGGTAATGTACAGATTTTTTAATTCATTAAAAACAGCATTCCATTTTACCTGAAAGCCATTACTCTGGAAGAAAGATGTTCCCTTTATATTGTAATTTTTAGCACTGTATTTTGTAAATAGTATATAAAACATAATACATTAGGAAACAGTATTCCATTTTGAATTACAAAAATCAGAAAATAAACACATATTCCAAACAAAAACATATTAGGTAAAAAAAAATTTAGAAAAACACAAATCTTTTTCATGATTTTTAAAAAGATATTATCTATTTGGTATCATGATAAGCAAATTAAATTTAAAAATTCTATCCCTAGGTCTTCTGTGTCATGCTTTTAAAACTAAATTTTAACTTTGGTGTCTTCACATTAAACAAGCACATTTTTATGTTTTGGGGGGGAAAAAGGGTAGTATTTCAGAGAGTATTAAGTTCCAAAAGTCCACTAAATTTAACTGCCAGAACTACCGTTAAATTTGTCCAATCCTTTGTTACCAATGTGACTCTAACACGGACCGTGTCCAAACATATGCAATCTCGTAACACTACCTGGAAGTAAACGTAGTCATACCCAGGAGGTACCTGAAACCTCAAAGGACCAACTGAGCCACGGCACCAAAGGCCAAAGCCAAATAACAGAGACGCATGTGAGCATAAACTCAGAAATCGCTTGGTTAAAAATGACAAATGCATAAAGATTCCCCAACATTTATGGAGTCCTGAAGGAAAAAAAAAATCCTGATTAGGAAGAAAGCCCACTATAATTAAATCAGAAACTGAGTTCAAATTCAAAAAAGACAAGCGAAGATGAGGCACCGTTCATGTTTTACCTGGAAAGACACTGGGAGGAGACGGAGTAGGAACAGCAATGGGAACGCCCACGCTCCCGCTTCCACTGTTCTCCCGACTGCTGCTCCGGCTGCTCGGGTGGCTTCCGCCGCTGCTCCCACTGCTGCTGAAGAAAGGAGAGCCGCCCAAACAGGACTATTTATATACAGTCAGATACCACCTGCATTTCCCCAAACTTTCTGAAATGAGTACTGCTAAAGAAAGATAATGCAAAAACCCTCCACTTCATGTACTAATTTGAGTAAAATAGGAAAAACACTGAGTTCAAGAAACTTGTTCTGACCACCTTTTAATAAGCATCAAAAGATGCTTGAAATTGAAATTGAGAAAGAAGGAAAAATTCTGCAGAAATATAAGTGGTAAGTGATAGGGTTCAACACATAAAAATAGTATTACTTTTATGCTCTGAAGAAACTTGTTTTATAATAAAAACACAGTTTTCCTAAACAGGTTGATTAATTTTATTTCTAATGATATCTTGATGTACCATCCCATATTACTGTTTTATTATGTATAGTTTTTCATCTGTAAAGTTTCACCAAAAAACAACTTGCAATTTCCCATATCCGATCTGTAACTATTTTTCCCACATCTGGTCCATAACTTTTTTTCAGGTCAACTATAACTATTAATTTTGTAGAGAAGTTTGTATTTTAAGATGTCTGTTTTTTCTGTTTTTTGGTTTTTGTTTTTTTTTTTCCAACTTCCTGACCTCAAAGCTGCATCAGAACATGAGGAGAGAGAGGTGGATTCAGATGAGGTCTGGGGGAGTAGAGTGAGGAAAAGAACTTAGTGCTTGGAAAAGGAGAGAGATTTAACTGAAGTAATCTAAAATTATGGTACTATAACCTTCACATTTGCACTGAGGGAGAGAAAATACCTGTAAGTTCGATTTCTTTGATTCACAGAAGCTGTCCTCACAGGGCTCTGCTGCGAGGGAGCCATATTACGGGTTGGGCTAGGTACGTAATCATTTGGTACCACTGGAGGACGCACTGGCTCCAGTGTGCGATAGGGGGAGTGCCGCCTACAAAAAGAAGAGCGTATGTATTGTGTGATTAGCAAGTTTCGGCACAACAAATTCAAAGAGTTGCCAGTAGTGAAATACAATTTGTATTCAGAGACAGGAACATGTTTTAACATAACCCAGCTACCAATTTCAGTCTTTCCTTTAGTATCACTTCTCTGCCATTAGGGTTTTGAGGAGTATTGCTATTCTTTAGTCTCAAACCTCATTTCCCTGTATTAATGCAATTTTGTTCACTCATTCTCTGACAGCACAAAGATTCTCCCAAGTAAGCCAGTGTTTCCCAGACTCTCTTCTCTTTTTTTGGCCGG